GGTTGTAAATCATTTGAACCAAGGGGTCTGCCACGCTTCAGGGTCATAGCAGATGATTGGCTAGCCACCAATGTACCTTGCCGCGTGGAGGGTGAGGCCTCCCCATCTTCGGGGACGGTACAGCCTTCCCAGGTGGGTTGTTGACGTACACGAGATACATCTATCTTTGCAGGTGTGTTTGTAGCGGGTATGTGTGATCTTGTCACCTTTGCTAGATCATTAAAAGCATCTGGCATGCTTTGAGCAATGCTCTGAAGATCTATAATTCGACGTACCTCATTTTCAGATTGGGCGGTGCGGGGATCTAAATGATACATAGGAGGAGCATACCACGACAATTCATGACGTTCTTCGGGAACATTAACATGCTTATATCCCCCTAACGATGGGAAGACTGTCTCATCAAAGTAACAATCTGCAAAACGTGCGGTAAAGAGATCTCCTGTCAAGGGTTCTAAGTAGCGAACAATTAATGGCGAATCATAACCGACATAGATTCCTATTTTTCTCTGAGGACCCATTTTGGTACGTAGCGGCGGCGTTATTACCATATAAATGGTGAACCCAAACACACATAAATGCGAGACGTCATGCTCGTATCCAGTGACCAACTGTAACGGTGAATGTGGTTGGATAACGGTCGGCCTCAGGCGGACCAACATAGCTACGTGCAATATTGCATAGCCCCCAGCAGATACCAGCAGTTTGGTTCTCATAACCAAAGTTCGAGCTATCAATTGAAGACGCTTTATGAAAGCTTGTACCAGGCCATTTTGGGTGTGAACATGGGGCATATGATGTTCCACATTAATTCCCACTGACATGCAATAATCGTCAAAAGTCTGTGATGTAAACTCTCTAGCGTTATCCAGTTGAATCGACTTGATCGGATAATCAGGGTGGTGAACCCTTAGCTTAATGATTAGAGCTAGAAGTTTAGCAAATGCGGTGTTGCGTGTAGACAACAAGCAAACATGTGACCATCTTGTCGATGCATCAACCAACACCATAAAATATGTAAATGGTCCGCAGATTGGTTGGATTGGGCCATAAATGTCCCCTTGAATCCTTTGAAGAAATTTAGGGGGGTTGTGAATAATCTTTGCATGGTGGGAGTCCAACATAGGGATGTAACTTATGCTCGTGTGAATATTTGAGGATACGGCGCATCATGTCACGTCCAGGATGTCCCAAATGATCATGCCAAAGCAACAAAGTGTCCGAGAACTCAGGCATAGGGCCGGCCACACTATGGGCTTCTATGCCGCGAATGGGTGTGATGTACAACCCATTCGGCAAGCGTTCCAACTTCTCGTGAACATGCTTTTAGCCATATTTATACGAAGTGATACAAAGAAATTCAGAACCATGATCTTCACTGGTTTCAAGATGATATTTATTATCTCGAATATCTCTAAAACTCAGCAACGTTTTTCCGGAACTTGGAGAATAGAGTGCCTTCTTAATGGTCAAAATTGTACCATTAGACAACATGATACATGTCTTTCCATATCCTTCAATCAGGTTTGATGAGCCTAAGAGAGTTGTCAAATGAGCTTTCTTGGGTATTAAGTTAGTAAAATAGTGTCGTTCACGCAAGATGGTATGCGTGGTTGCACTATCTGCCAGACAACTAACTTCCCCACTAGACATACCTAGAAATAAATTGATTGAATTGGTCACATGTATAAATATAAGTCCATTCATTCAATTAAGCAATTCGAGAAAATAATATGCATTCAAATAACAATCCATAATTCAAAACAAACAAAACCAAACAAATTATTCCAAATACATAGAAAAATTGTTCAAAATTAAACCATAAACCTAGCAAAATAGGGGGTAGGGTCGGCCACTCCTAGTGGGTTCGGCCACTAGGGGTAAAACACCCTAAAAACATGTCTAATTTATTCATCCATAGGTGCTGACGCCTTCTGGAAATCCAATATCTCCATTGATGTAGTTGCATCTTCTGGATGATCCACATGTGCAAAGTTAGACTCACGACGAGAATGATATTTGGCAATAGCCTCAGGGGAAGCTCGACATATGCGTGACCAATGATCCCTTCATCCACAACGATAGCACATGTCCAGTTCAGTAGAAGCAGCCTGAACGAGAGCTTTGCCTTTGTTCTTGAAATTTGGGACCTTAGAGGCGAGTGGTGGACGTTGCTGGGTCACATTTCTTCCCTTAGGTGCGGCACTTTGTTGACCTTGGTCCCGTGGTTAGGCTTGTTGCCCATTGCCACGGCCACAATGGTTCTTTCGTCGTTTATGGCTGCTAGAATAGGTCATATGCGCTTTAAGCGCGGCGTTCGAGCCAGTGGGTCGAGCTTGATGATTCTTCATCATAAGTTAGTTCTGCTTTTCAACGAGAAGTAAAACAGAGATCAAATCTGAAAACTTGGTGAATTTATGTGCCCTATATTATTGTTGTAGGACAATATTGGTGGCATGGAAGGTGGAATAGGTTTTCTCCAAGAGATATGATTCGATTAGTTCCACTTTGCAGAATTTCAACAGAGAACGGATTCTACAAACTTCAGAGTTGTATTCATTCATGGACTTAAAGTCCTGGAAGCGAAGATTCTGCCAGTCGTGTCTTGTTTCAGGCAGGTATATGTCTTTCTGGTGATTGAAACAGTCGGCCAGAGCAAGCTAGAGGGTGTGTGGGTCCTCCTCAGCGAGATACTTAGTCTGCAGTGCATCATGAATGTGTCTTCGGATGAATGTGGCTCTAATACCCTTTGCAGTGAGATGGAGCTTCACATCTTGAACCCATTTCAGATAGTTTCTTCCAGAGACTTCTAGAGCGGAGAAATCGAGCTTGTTCAAGTTCGACATGTCCCTAAAATGAAGGGAGAAAACATGATTAGTCATATGGTAAGCCATAGACATATATCGTAGAACATACAGGTTCTATAGACATATAATGGTTTAATTTATGCATGAAAACTACAGGTTTCATGTGGTATGTTTTGAATGAAAACTTCGGGTTTCAAAGGCACTAAATTTGAAACTACAGGTTCAATTTAGCTTTATGAACAATTAGTTCATAATGAGACGTTCTTGCAAGAAACACAGAATGCAATATACTAATTTGGATATAGTGGATTTGAGGTTCTTCGGGAACTCAAGTGTGAAAGCTTCGTTACTACGAAAGTATGTGACGGTTCAAAGTATAAAAATAAATGATTGAATTGTTAATGTCCAAAAGTGATCTTCAGGTTAATAATTTTGGATTCATTATCAGATTAATGGACTGCAGGTCACTTTTAATTAATTCAATAAATCGGGCCATACTAGGTCGATTGTAGAAGCTAAATAATATTAAAATAATATTATTGGATCAAAAATATAGCCCCAAAATAATTTGGGCTTGGTGCCGTGAGCAAAAAGCTCAGGTGGCTGCTAAAGCAGCCCGTGGGGTGGCTGCAAGCCCAGCCTTGTAGGCTAGTGCATGCCGTGGGAAACACCCAGCCAACTGGGCTGGATTTGAATGAAGGTTGCAGTCCTAGGTTTGTTGCGTGGCTACGGGCGACGGTGCAAGGGTGAAGGGCTGCAGGCCCATCCATTTGGACCCCAGGTTGAGGCCTAGTATCATTATGCATAGTGGTGGTGCGGTGGGTGTGCTGCACCATGCCCAATTGCCCTTTTTTTTTTTTTTTTCAAATCCCTTAGGGTTTAGGAAACTCATATTTGCTTCTAATTTAATTTTGTACTTTGACTCACAAATTCCACATAACAATTTAATTGTGTGATGCATGAAACAAATATATATATATATATTGACAAATATATGAACATATACAATATATATATATATATATATATATATATATATATATATATATATATATATCGAAAGGAAAATATAAACATAGGGGGGTTCATGAATCATGGGGAATGTTTTCATGCTTCGTGGACATTTCAAATATCTTCTTTTATTTTAATCATACCTGATTAGCCGAAAACGAATAAGCCCTTGAATTTGGTGGATGATAGCCTCCTCCAACGATGCTTCAATTTCTCAGCTTCTAGCAAGATCATGCTAATAATGGGTTGTAGGCCTATTTGATTGAACGATCTAGGGTTTAGAGAGAGAGGGGTTCAGCAATATTGAGAAAGAAGATATATTGATTTAATTGTGAGGTGTGTTTGATTCACCCCATTGTGCCTTTATTTATAGTAGTATGAAGGGTAAAACCTTTTCCTTTAGGATTACAATATTTAATAGGTAATCTAATCCTAATAGTAATATAAGATAAATTCTCATATTTCTTATGATTTACACAATCATATTGCTATTGTAAATATGACTGCAACAATCTTGAACTTTTTTAAGCTTTGTGCAAAAAAAGAGAAACTATGTCACCGCCCAATCACAACGAGGCCTAAAGAACTGACCACCATGCTTCAAGTGACCCAGTTACAACTTATAAGGAACCAATTATAATCAGAGCATCTCCTCAAATTGTAAATATAAAATTTAATTTTAAAAGACTATGTGACAATTTGATAATTTTTTAAAATTTATTCTCTACCCGATGTATCAAATTAAATTATTATTTATTTTATTATTTACTTTTTATAATTGTAATAAATATTTTTTTGAACTAACAACAATAATAAAAATGATAAAAAGCATTTATTAATTTAAAGTTGCTATTAAATTTAATAGCATCCAACTTTACTGCCAATCCGCATCATGACACATAAGAATTGACATTTCGTTAGAAAACACTAAGGATATGTCTGTTGCATCGAATTATCTTGAACTCGACTAACTTCAGCTCCTAAGCTGGACTAGCTTAGACTAGACTAAGTTGGACTAATTTGGTGAAACATTTGGTGCAGTGTCAGACTAAGAAGCAAAATAATGAAAATAGTACTGTATTCAGTCTGGTGTTTGCTCGGACATGGACTAAATTTATCAATTTTAATTTCTTCTATTAAAGATATTATCAAAATTAATATTATTGGATGAGCAAGACTCAATAAAAAGACTAACCAAATTTCTTGGCACAAAAGAAATATCATAATTCAAGAAAACAAGTAACAATCTGCAACATACTTACAATAACTACAATATACGCTAGTTACACTAATCTGCAACGTACTTGCAATAGCTAGCTACAATATTATCATTCAAAATTAGATTCCCATGATTCACAAAAGCTAGTTAATTGGGGAAACATCATTTTCAGCTTTGATATCACTTTTGAATCAACCTCATTTTCAGCTCCAGATATTTGCATCCCCTTCCCAGCCACTTCTGGTAAACACCAAATGCCATGTCAGGCTCCTTAATTTAGCAGTACTCCTTGAAAAATATACGATATGGAATAAACCAAATTTATGTATCTTTGTAAAAAGCTCTTCTGCCTCCTTCATGTCACCTCTCACGCAGTGCCCTCTGATTAGTGCAGTGTAAGTAAATATATCTGGATCAAATCCTATTCTCAGAATTTCATCATATAACTGGAGCCCTAACTTAAAAGCAGCACCTATCAACAAATTATACAGAACAAAGATCAGATAACCATCTCCTTTTTTAGAGCAAGAGCATGATCAATGTTTCCTCCTTTTACTTCTTGTGCATGGATCAACGCATTGTAAGTATACACACTTGGATGATACTGAGATCCTCATATCTTCCATAACAATCAATAGTACAATTCCATAGCAGGGGCTCAGGCACCATTGACTTCTCTAGCATACGAAAAAGAAACTTGTTAGCTCTAAAAATCTCCTTTATGTGCAGCTTCCTATGAGAAAACTTGTTAGCCCTAAATAATTATTTTGTATGAAATTTGATTTGGAGTAACTTCCATTTTTGGCATACTTTCATGGATGTAGCAAGCCTCCTTTAATTTTCCTTCTTTGCAAAGACCACTTATAAGTGTATTAAAAGTAATAACATTAGGAAGTAATCCTCATTTGATCATTTCACTAAGTAATAACATTAGGAAAAACACTTGATAGGAAATAGACGAGCATGCTGAGGCACACAATTATGTCTTTCATACTACTTTTCTAATCAAAATTTGCACCTCAATTATCATTTTACTTTTCTCATAGGACACCTAATTATTATTGATAATAATATGAATAAAATGTGCAGCTCAGTACACCAGACTACTGCCATTGCAAAGTACATAAACAATTTCAGCGGCACTAATCACCTACCACCCGCTCGTTCCACTTAGCCACTACTGACTCAAGAAAACTAAAATTACACACAAAATTGACAATCTTTGTGGTAGAACACAATCGAAAAATCGAGATACAAAGCTAAATTTAAGCAATTCTTGGAGAAATTGGCGAACACAGTTCACTTTCGATTTCCCAACACTGGATTCATCAACTACCAAAAATCTGACAACCAAAATGCATAAAACACTGAAAAAACAGTACTCAAACACGAAAACAACTATTCGAAACATACCCATTTCACCTAAACAAAAATTAAACATACTCATGAAGTTATTTTCGAGGTCACCCAGTTCGCCTTTAGATCCATCGATGACGGCTGTCCTTGCTTGCCCTAGATTCTGCAATTTCAAATGGGTGTAAACAAACAGAGGATTAAAACTATAGCGAAAAGGGTTGAATGATTTCTCAGAATCCAAACATATTAATAAATTTCCCATAAAAAAAAAAAAGGAAAATTGGAGAATCAGACCTCCATCTTCTTCTCACCCAGTAGCCCATAACAAAACCTTTTCCCCTTTGCCCTCTTTCTGCGGCTCTTCTTCTTCTCCTTCTTCTCTTTCCCTCTCTTTGTCTGTATGCAAGCTGTGGGGAAGAAGAAGTAGATGGGAGGAGCAAAGCGGAAAGAGCGAAGCAGAGATGGTCTTAGGGAGTCCCATGGTTGGGGGAGGTCTCGCTAAGAACGGCTAGCGAGGCCGATGGTCCACGCAAATCCCGTTTAATCTCACGTTTAATCTCATTTAACTTAGTCCTAGCACGGACCAAACATGGGACTACACTAGGAAGTAGTAGTCACTTAATGAGACCAAACAAACATACCCTAATATTGTATTTTTTTACTATTACTGCCCATATAAACTTTATAATATCTCATCTCTAGAGAACATCCTTTCCAACACAGAGTTTCTTCACCAGGACAACAAACACACAACTATGTACGTACGTTACACTCATTCAACAGAGAAATATAGTTGTTAGGTTTTGGGCCTCTCTGAAACAAGTTGATCAGTGTACAATTATTCCCAAACTTGCGTATACTGTTCTGCCAACAGTTAATTAATTGACGAAGGCACAAGTTGTTATATATGTATGTGTGTGTGTGTGTATATATCTGCTGAGCTGACGAAGGCGGTAAGTAGAAATGTTAGATCGAACTCCTCCTTCATGTCCAACTCAGTTGGCAACATATTATTTGGAAGTTCCCAATCAAAACAATGCACAAGTTGTGCCGCCAATATCTGTACCATCGTTATGCCTAACTATTAGAATCTAGAGAGAGATTTTAGTAAGAGAAAGATGTAGAGAGAGAAAGTAAAATCAGATTGTGTATTTCATCATTCAATAAGATTACATAGGGTATTTATATGTATACCAACATTTACATATAAGCGTAATCACCTATCTTAATGACCAAGTATAACCAACTCTTGCAAATTGCAACAAATTCTAACAACACACTCATTGTTATTTTACAACACTACCCTTAATATCTTCTTTTTGTTGTTGCTTTTGGTCCATGCTTGCAGCACATAAACAAGTGCTAGCAACCCAACAATTGCCCTAACCCAATACACGGCTGAGTACTCGAATGCTGGACTAGTTTAAGTACTCGCCAGTGTGCTGGTTCGATAGCAGTGCAAATATTTACAATATCAAGGACATGCTTTTCTTTTTCTTATTCTTTTTTCTTCTTTTTCCTTCTTTTTCTTGGTTGTGTTTGTTTATAATATTTGACATGAGTAGGAGCAAGTTCAACCTCTTATGTAGGAGAGATTTTTCAGTGTGACTGGTACACGGAAGTGGTACATCATGTGTTATTATACAAATGATGAGATATGTATACTAAAAAGTTAATAACTTAAAAAATAAAATTTCTCACCACTCCTATTAAAACACATGATGTACCACTTGTGTTCCCATCACAACTAAAAATTTATCCTTATGTAGGGAGCCAACCATTCCTTGACTATTTATCCGGCGAAAAGAAATTAAAAACAGCCACTGTGGTTCACCCAGTGGGGACGGTGGGCAGAGGGATGAATAGCAGTAGGCTAGGTACAGAGTTTGAAACCCTACTTTTGTTTGTAACAAACAAAATATAAGGAAATAAACGGACGATCAACGTTCAATGGACATAAAGAAGGGTCGGAATCTTTGTTTTCTTGTGATTAGTGGATAAGTAGATAATTAGTTATATTCCAAAGGATGTAATTAACAAGGCAAACTTGAGATACGATGTCGTTCTTATGATTGTAGTAAAGTATATTAAGCCGGCAGGCAGGCATAGACATATTTGATTTATTCCACCAAACCTTTTTGCTAGGCTTGTCAGTCGAACAACTTCCAACTCACTACACAAATTAAAATGATTCCCTAGTCAACACCTTTGATCAAAGACCAAAGGCTCACGCTCTCACGAGGTATTACAATAGTGATTGTTAGCACACGCTAGAAAGTAAACTAAAGAACCTTAGATTGACAAGTAATGCAGAGTCTTGAATAATGATTCACTACTTGAGCAATTTGAAGCCAGTCATCCCTCTTCCGACTCTGTGTATCAGACCAGACCATAAATTAGAACGACACCAGAAAAGATGAACGCATTAAGTTTAAGGGACAGATTATTCTCTCCCGTAAATATGATTAGTCCATCGAAAATGATTAAATGTGCCATAATGTACCAGAAGGAGAAAAGGTAAATCTGAAGATTCAAAGGCTTGGGGTTTAGGGTTTAAGGTTCATGAAAGGGAATTCATACCATGTATTGCTTCCATGTTGTCTTCCTTGTAAACACCAAGAGGTGAGCCATGGACAGATACGAGCATCTCCCCAGGCTTTGGGAACCTTACCGTTTTGGGTGTCATCCCAATGGACAGCCTTTGGCTACTAACCTGTAGCATAAACCAGAGTTTTTAAGAGCACTCAGCAACCTCATTGGATAAAAAAAGCTAACTACCAACTATCGTGTGCTCTAGTCATAACTCAAAATCTTTACTAACAATTTATTATATTCTTCACACGATTAAAGTCACTAAAACATTATTACGATACTCGTCTCCAATTTTCCCCTTTACAAATCATTAGTGTGTATTTTTATAGGAACTTTTTAAGTCCAGATCTCTTCAGCACGGCAGACGAGCTTACAACATAGTTTCCCTTATCCACGTACATTCACCAAAGCAACAAGTTTCCCTTGTAGTTTGTTACCACAAACAGACAATCAGTTTAACGCTTCTTTTAGGTCCTGAAGATAGACACACCGATACTTTTGAAACTCATGCATTTCATAAGCTGTTTAGGCCTTCTAGTAATCCCAGGTATGGAAGAATATGGAATCAAACTAAAATCCATCAACAGAACTACACATTTATCGTAATCGGACCAAGTGTGGCTCAATATAAACCAAATATGATAAATCAATCAGTAAGGCACAAACCCCAGGAGTTTGGAGAGTATCTTGCTTCCCTAGCATCAGAGAATTATATGGCTCCTCTGAAACCTACAACAGATATTTTAAAAAGGTTACGTACGTATGCCTATGTCTGAATGTATGGATGTCAGTATCAATATATGTGCGTGTGTATGTACCATACGAAAGTGAAATTTTACCAGCGTGTGAATGCAACATAAGCATATCACAACACATTAAAAAAATGATCCCCTAAATTTTTAGAGGGACATAAGTTATAAGAGAACATACAAAGTCCCTGGTCTGAAGATTATCAGCTCCCAGAATGCTTGTTCTCGCTGCCACAAATCAACTGAGTCAGGCGAGATATAAGCAAAGCAAGAACATTGAGGACACAAAAATAAGTCCTCTGATTCTTGTTCTTTATGTCGAAAGATTAGAATTTGCGAATACCTGCATTACTAGAAAACTCAAAGCCACCTAAAGACGGGATTGCAGCTGAGCAACCAGAATAAGCCATGGACAACCGACGAAAAAGAGTCTCATATAAATCTATTCCATCATTCATGGACACATTTCCGTCTTTTTCAAGCCATTGGACTTCCATCATTCCATTTTCTCCAGATGTTACAATAGACAGGTTTTGATAGTTGTGTTTAAAAAATTGCAATAAAGGGGTTTGCAGCTGTTCCTTGGTGAAATAGGAGCGAAGCAAACGCAATTTAGTCAACAGATGTTCTATCTCCACATCACGCATAGCCCTAATGGCTGATATTTGTCGGTCAACTGCGAAAAAAGAAACGAACAATAGGAGCATTTGGTCACCACAGTTGGTAATCACCAGAGCGTATTAGTACAAACCCAAATTCAATGAAATTTGAGATCTAAAACAAAATTTTGCAACTCAATCAAATGCACAAATTATACCATCTAGGTCTGTGAATTGAGCTTCTTGCTTCTCAATCTGGGGCTCCTTTTCATCAGCAAGGTTGAAATCGTTCCCCGGTGACGAGGCAACTTGCTTTACAGGTTTTCTACCTCTTTTCCTTGCCATATAAATGATGAAGATGTGGTAAATTTTGCTTGCTATTATATCCAACACCTCCAAAAGCTTCATGCACGCGATATAGCAACGAAAGTAAAATTGGAAGAATGTGAGTTGAAAATGCAGAAAACAAAAGATTCTTACAAGTGAAAACGAAAGAGAAGTGGCAGAAGTTGCAATTTAGAAGATTGAAGTGCTGATGAAAGTAGGGTACTAACCACTGGCAGTCCGTCGGTGATTGGGTTGACCGAAGCTTGCACGGTTGCAGTGGCAGCGCTGCGCTGGGCGGGACCGCTTTTCAAACGAATTTGAATGCTGAGATTGTGGTGGTAAAGAACTTTGTATGGGCGGATTGTGAATTTTGATATTGACGTCTTGTTTCGACCAATACGACACGTAGTTTGTACAAAAAGAGGATAAAATTATTATTTTTATTTATGAATACAAAATTATTAGGTACAATTATGGTGTGAGGCCACTGAGTTAAGTTTGTTATAATAATTTAGATAATATTTGTCATTTATAAGATCATCTCTAACATTTTGGCTAAAAGTCAAATTTTTTAGCCTGAAAAATTTAGCTTTTAGTCCAGAAACAACTTTTTTGCTCCAACTGGTCTAAAATTTTAATCTCAGATTATTAAAGAATGAATTTAGGCTAATTTATTTTCTTAAATTTATTTTTCAAAAAAAAAAAAAATTATGCACACTATCATAAATTAATTTTATGAACATTTTAATCTAAAAATATTTAAATTCCGATAAATATTGAAAAATCACTGAATCGATACATGAAACACTATGGAAGAGTCTGAAAATCATAATAGACATGTATAAACACAAAATATATAAAACACACAAGACACACAAAACACATACATAGGTATTTATAGAGTTTTTGGGTGAATTTTGAGTTAAATATTTTTTTTTAATTATTTAGTTGTTGGATTTAAATTTGGGTCGTTAGATTTTTTTTTTACCGTTAGATTTGATTATATTCAATCTCAGCCGTTGGATTCAATGTATTTTAAAATTACATTTTAAAAAAATAACAAAATTTGAATCTGGACCGTTGGATCAACCAACGATCCAAAAATCTCAGCCATCGGATGATAAAAAGAGCCGTTGGGCTCATGATGGTGGCCGACAGTGGCCTTGACAGCGGGTCCCACCTTGTCGGGCACTGAAGGCCTCAGCCCGCATGGGGCGAGTTGGGCGTGTGATCGGGTCGAGAGTGGGCGGAGTTTGGGCGAGTCCACGCATTTCTAGGCTATTTCTTGGGGGGTATTTGCTTTGATTTAGTGGCTTTTAGCCCAAAGATTTGGCTTGGGTTGGGTTGGGTTGGGTTGGGTTTGGGGGGGGGGGAATAAATGGGGAAATTTGGCAAATAGCCCAGGGTTGTGTTTGGTCTAATAGTCGAATTTAAGATCTTACTTAAAATATCACTAAACTATAGTATTAATTGATAACTATTTTCATTATTTACTTTTTTTTATTAATAAAAAATAATATTCTTACCATCTAGTTAAGCACAAATAATGGTATAACTTGATGATAAGTTTAGCATTACTCCTTTTTAATATAACAATATGTTTACACTAGGGGTGGGGAATTTTGTGTCAAACTCATCATTTACAATATTCAAGCTAATACTTTTCGTTTACAAGTGAAAATAAACATCACTAAACTGCAATACGAAGGAAAAACGTAAGGAAATATATAGTACTAACATTGGCCTTACCAAAAATGGGCTTCATCAACAACTCCTGCCGCCATCAGTTAAAGCTTGACCTCAAACCTAAAAATCTGGAAATTGCTTCTCAATGTCATTAACATCTTCTCACCCCACGTATCATCCTCCTGAGGAAGACCCCGCCATTGATTTAATCAGCGAACTACAGGAGCATTCTTTCGTTTGATCATTCCGCGGTCCAACACCTTTTCTGTTTACCAAATTTACAGCTTGAGCATCCACTTTCTTCTTGAGCAAAGAGACATGGAAGGTACGGTGAATTCGTGCGGAGGAGAGTAGGTTGACTGTGTATGCCACAACTCCAATGCACTTGATTATCTCAAAAGGGCATAGTACTGGGTTGAGAGTTTGTGGCATTGTCGGTTGTCCTCACTATCAACAGTGGCAGAGTCAGGATTTCGGGTTAGGAGGGGCTTCTCACAAATATTAAAAAAATTAGATCGATAGTAGTTACAAAAATGTTAACCAAAACATCATAGTATATATATGAAAAGTAACCAAAATTCAAAATAACATAGCATTGAAAATATTACATATTCCCCATAATTAAAATAATTGTCCTTGACGAGTTTTCATATTTTGAAACCGTTGCATGATAGCCTCGTTCTCTATACTATTAAAAATATCATTTTCAATATAAGCAACCAAACAATCGTTCATCCACAATAGCGCAATACAATAGGTACATGCTCAATACCTACAAAGCGCTCTATCACATGGCGCTTATCCACATAACGCAATACAATGGTCATTTGCTATTTTGAAGATATGTCTTGTGATTCATCAACAAGAATGGAAAATAAAGAATCATTAATATCACTAGTGATTGCATTGATGATTTCATATGAAATAGCACTTGATATGTCCTTCTGAATATCATGTGATGTCAATTTCAATTTTTTAAGAGCATTTTCTAGCGTGACAACCTTTATACCTTACTATAGTGACGTAGCCACCATAGAATTTCAAGAAAGTTTCCTTGGTTGAGTGAATTTTCAAATTCATCATGCCCACGAAATTGAAGACCTTGTTGTAAGAGAATTCTACTAACACCAATTGATGCACCTAATTGAGTTCGATAATCAATTCGATCTCGGTCAGTTTGTTTTGAGATAAACATTTCAATATGTTGATTTTGGTTTAATAAGGCTTCACAGTTTCTCCAAGCATTATTATGAGAACTATTAGGTCCTCCAACATGAATTTATAGTTTCTTCTTGCACTTCCAATTCTTGAATCCGACTCCAACAAAAGTACCCCCACCAGATTGATCTCCAATATCGGGTTTGAAGAGATAACAACATAAACAATAGGTAACATTCTGTGATGTGCTATACTGCAACCAATTAGGAAACTGAGTAAACCAAGCAGGATTGAACCTTCTAGGCTTTTGTCCCAAATTTTGTGTAGATAAATGTATGGGTTTGTGGTTGACAAGATTTATTTTGGAGATAGGCTCTAGGAACTTGGTCTCAAACATTAGGATGATAACTCAAAATCGGTCTACACAATCCAAGATCATATTGGAGAGTTTCCAAGTTAATTTCCATAGAATCCACACAAGTTTGTTTTGAACTACTTTCATTATTCTTTGGACTCCTTGAAGATGGCTCTAATATCTCAGGTTGTGTTTTTCTTTTGAAATATCTTTCCATAATTGAAAAGTAAAAAACATAGATTGACTAACTTTTAATTAAAAGAAATATGAACATATATGCTAATTTTACAAACTAAAACAAATCAGGCAATAGTTAAAAGAAATTGCAAGACATCAATTTAATCATAATTCATAAACAAAAAATTGTAAGAGGAATTGAGAGTAAAATGCATATTTTGGGTTGTTGGCCAATTAAATAAACTTCAATGTCTTTTCTTTGATGGAATGATGGAATAATGGAATTCTTTACTCTGCAAAAGAATCTTATTTGTTAAATTAATTTACAATTGTAAATGACAACATATATCAATTAGCAAATTTCAAAAAAGATGGAAGATGACAACTTTGGAGATTTGAAGTTCATACCCTTTGAGGATCATGGAAATTGAAGATTGACCGAAAAGCAATACGCAGATATCAACCCTAACCCAAACTGGCAGAGGAAGAATGCAGTCGGCAAAGCCTATAGAAACTTGAAGAATAATAAACTACTAATTTTTAGTATTGGGAAGAGGAATAGAAGTGATTGCATAAATCTCCTTATAATATTTAAAGAGGGTCAGATCTTTTGTCTTGGAAATTAGAATGGGTTAAGTGAAATAGTCATGGACAAGTGATACAAATAATTAAAAAAAAAAAAAAGTAAAATTAGAATGGGTTAAGTGAAATAGTCATGGACAAGTGATATAAATAATAAAAAAAAATAAGTAGTACTAATTTTTTTTTTAATAAACAAAAGCAGGGTGGGCCTAGGACTACATTGGTCCTATGGTCCCTCCGCCCCTAACTGTCAATATGGTTGAAGGTGCAAAAAGACCCAATCCCTAACTGCAAATTCTCGTTCACTACGTTATTGTGACAAGCTCAAGTAATATAATGATAAGTACAATGTTGCTCTAACAAGAATTAGATTAATCTTAATTTATTGTTGCAACAATTTCAAATTTAAAAACAAACTAAATGAGAATTAATGATTAAATTAATGTGCAATTTTAATATAACAATTGAATGAAAGCAAAATCAAAAGTGAATAAATTATGAAAGAATAATGTATGAAAGCACTAGGACATCAGGTTCCTCATTCTCAATCTCATATAACCCTTTATATATATATAAATATTGATATCAAATTATTCTCATGTTGTCAACAATTATCCCTTAGTTCACCAATAATTTCTGTAAGAATATACTAATTATGTTCCTAACCATCAACCCACATTACGTCTAGCCAAAGATTTAGATAATTGAAACTCCTTACGCTCAATGAATAATTATAAGAAATTGCACAAATTGAATCATTATAAGAAACTACACAAATCATACTCAACATTCTACTCGACTATGTAATTCATGGTAATTGTTATGAGAAGCCATTTACTAAACTTAACCTGTCAGTCATAATTTTGTTCTTCACACAAATAATGGTTAGTTATTTGACAATAATAAAGCACAATAGCGATCGCTCAACTGGGGAAATAAATGAGATTAATATAAAATAAAGAGTAGTAGATGTTCATGATAAGAGTAAACCTAGCCCAAGCAAAAGAATTTAGTTCATGATAAAATGAAGAGAACTTTCATGAAAAGGGCTTGGGCTAAGTTTATTTTAACCAAAAACCATGCTATAACTTTATTTAATGACAAAGAATAAATATTAACGAAAAACCCTTTAAATTTTAATAAAAAGGACAAAAGAACATAAAATTTACTAATAATGACACAATTTTAATATAAAAAAATTAAAAAAAAACTAACGTGCGGGGCCCATCATAGTCACTGTTTATGAAACCGAACACTATTTATAAAACTGAACAGTATTACACTATTTATTGGTCCAGTTTCATAAACAGTGCCTAATTTTTTGTTCATTTTCATAAATAGTGTCTAGTTATTCGTTCTAGTTTCATAAAAGTGTATAGTAATTGGTACAGTTTCATAAATAGTGTCTCTTTCTTGGTC